ATAATGGGGGGAAAATAGTTGCATGAATAAATAATTCCAGAACCAGATTGCCTGGCTAGTGTTCTAAAGGGACCGATTAATCTGCTTGAACCACACAGCAAAGCGGAAACTGCTGAGCTGCATACTATACCGGCCCTATCTCTTTCCACAGCTAATGAAACAGAAATCCCTTCAGCGAAGTCTTTCAGTAATAAATAATTTCAGGGCTGTTGTTTAATAAGATACTTTCACGCTTGGAGGATTTGAGGAATTTACAGTAAATATGCCTTGTGTCGCATAGTATCTCAGAGGAGCAAATACCTCCACATCCTTTTAAATCATGTCATGTTCTTTTTATAATGATAAACAAGGAACAAGGGATATAGCTTTCTTACAGTTAAACCATAGTACATACATTTATTTCCACTGCTGAGTATTTTGCAGGCCTGGTTTGCACCTAAAATTTAGGTTAACCTAACTACATTGCTCCGGGCTATGAAAAAATTCATGTCCTGTTTGATATAGGCGGGTCAACCTAACCCCTAAAGGGGACTCAAATAGGTCAAAGGAATAATTCTTCCACTGTCCTAGCTATAACCTGTCGAGTGGATGGATTTTGTACAGCAACAGAAAAAAAAACTCCTTCCAGTGCTGTAGCAAGTAAAAACAACACTGCCACTATAGTGCTTCTATTGTAGACCTATACTAGTCGAGTGAGATCTAGTAGGACACGAGGCAGTCAGAAGTGGGTTCCATTCCTATCTGTTACTTACCTGTGTGATATTGGGCAAATCACGTCATCGCTGTATTTCTGTTATCCTCCCCTTTGTCTCATTTGCATGGATCATAAGTTCCTCCGGGCAAGGACTGTCTCTCTCTGTACATTCTCCAGAACCTTTGGACCCAGTCTTGGTTGGTGCCTCTAACAGTTAACCTCATACAAGTCAATATACACTATAATCTAAACGAAACTGCCAGACTATAAAAAGGGCTTCTGAACCTGTGACGAATCATAGACTCATAGACTTTAAGGTCAGAAGGGACCATTATGATCATCTAGTCTGACCCCCTGCACAGTGCAGGCCACAGAATCTCACCCACCCCCTCCCAGAATAATCCTCTCACTTATATCTCAGATATTGAAGCCTTCAAATACTTTGAAGACCCCAAGATGCAGAGAATCCTCTAGCTGTGATCTGTACCCCATGCTACAGAGGAAGGCGAAAAACCTCCAGGGTATCATAGCAACATATTCAATATCTCAGCATTGTGCGCCTATTTAGAAGAGTTTCACATTGAGTTGTCCACATTTGAGAGCAGCTGATCCCTTTTCCAGTTTGGAAGAGGTATCACAATGCCTCTTGCTTTCCTCCCACCCCCCACTTTCTTTTCTCATCTATTATTTGCTAACAAAATGTGTGTGAAGCCTGGATATTATGGTTATATTCTGCCATCTATATTACCAGAATTCTGAAAGTGATTATGAATTCAAAAGCAGAGGGTTATTACGTCATGCAGAGAACAAACAAGAGGATCATATTAACTTTGTGTACAAGCAAAAATCTCTAGAAATAACATAGTTTATTATTTACATTGCTGGAATGCCTGGGGGCCTAGCTCCATTGAGTTAGACACTGTAAATGTGATAAGGGATGATAAGATACCAAAGATTATGACATAAGGTTGTAAAACAGTTTTAACAGAATGCTTTTCATGGTTTTCCAGAAAACATCCATAGGGCTGTAATTAGCCTGTCAAAATTTACCCTAAAGAATAGGTCCTTGTAATTCTCAGATGATGGGGAGCCTGAAAAAATTTTCTCTTTATGAGTCATGACTAGTAGATAAAGTAAAACAAAGTAACTTCACACTAAAAACATGAGCTGTGAAAAGCCCTGTGGTGGTTATTTGGCTCTCCTAGTGCATGAGTGTAAGGAAGTCATTCAGAATGGTCTCTTGGAAAGACCTATTATTACAAGCCAAATGCAACAGAGAAGTGAACTAGTGCAGGCCATTTGTGGTTTCCACAAACTACCTACAAACATCTTGGCTTCTGTGCTTCATTAGTGGTGACACTGTCTATTCAAAAGGACCCAAATGAACAGAAAAAATAGACAATTTTTTGTAAAAGTACATAGTTTTTCATCTCAGGCTATTGTCTGTATAAAAGCTGTGTCTACACTACGAGCTAGGGGTATGTTTCCTGACACTAATCCTGACACTAATGCTCATCAAGCTAGCTTGAGTATAAGTGGCAGCGTAGTCATGGTAGCAGTAGCAGAGGTGTGGCTTTGCTGGGCAGAGTACACCACTGGTTTCAGCAGAATTTGTACTCAGCAGAACTAAGATACGCCTCAGCTGCCGTTACCCGGGCTACTGCTCATCCTTGCACTAGCTCCGTGAGAGCTAGTCCCCGTGTGTGTACACAAGCAGGGGATCACACCCTTAGCTCAGAGTGCTTTATAAACATTAACTAGTTAACATTCACAGCACACTTGTGATGTCAGGTAACGTTATCTCATTTGTAGAATGGGAAACAGAAGTAGCGAGCTAGAGGTCACAGTGGCAGTTACATCCCTGAGATTCTCGATGGAATATCTGTCTCATACACAGTGTGTGATGGAGCTCCCTGAAACTTGTCCTGGGACACCTCTCCTGGTCTGTGTGTGAGGTTAACACAGGCTTCTTCTGCAGTGGTTTATGCCAACAGGAGCAGTAGGGTGCTGAGTGTGAGTACATCTGGCCATGCGAGGGAGAAGACTTCTTATGCCTTCCTCCCAAAACATGCCACAGCAGCCATGCATGATCCAGCTGGGATCTGCTGTAGACCACAGAGGGGAGTCAGTGGTATAGCAAGGACTCTTACCACTGGAATCCTTAGTCCTGTATTCTGAGCGGAAAACTGTGCCGCTCTCAATTAAATACGGTTGGTTATTCTGAAAAAGCAAATCATTTGGTCATCTGAGTTCACCAGCTCTAGAGCTGCATTTGACTAACATTCTTCTGCCACCTACATATAAAACTCCCATTTGTTAGGCGAAGAATTTCCAAGTCACTGAGGGCAATGCAGTTTTTCAAAAATCTCTGTTGTTCTCCCACTTCTTTCAGTTATGTGATCCTTCCTCAGACAAATTCTTTCTTCAGGTCACTTTGACCATTCTTGGAGGAACACAGAGGTAGTACTGTGCGGTAAGACTGCAGCATAAAACATTCATTTTGGGTCTGTTCAGGATTCATTTCTCTCATTAAAGGCAACACTGAAGCTGAAGGTCAAGGGATAAGTCCTTACTGCTGCAAAACGCATTGTCAGAAACTGAATTATAACTGGCAGAACAAACAATCCTATCAAGAAAATAGAGAAAGGTTGGGGTTTTTTTAAGCTAGACCAAAATTCCACCAGGCTTCACCAAGCAGTGAAAATAGTTTCACTTCCATCAAGTTTGAATGATGAAATCTTGGGCAATCTGTCTTGCCCCCTCAAGATATATGCATTAAGTTTTGGTTGATTTTAGTCTAAAAAGTTGTACATGGCTAATAAGTTGTTTGTACCCCACCTTCCTGCTCAAAACAAGACTGACAACATGCTTTTTTCATCTGAGGCCTCCACAAAAGATGCATCTGCCACATGCATGCCACCAGAGAAGATAACAGAGATTCTGAGTTGTCAAAGACAGCCATGTGCTACAGGGTTTGCATTTGCACGAAGATGGTCCTTCATGAGAACGTAGCCTATAGTCTGAAGACTAGATTCAGAAATAAAATCCCTCTCGCAGAAGGGAGAGTGATAAAAGTAAGAGACTAGTGCAAGGCTAACCGTGGTGCTTAGTGACTGTGACACTATCTGACACTGATTGATTAAGAGGCTGAAAGTCTGACTGTGGTGTTGGGCTGCTAAGAATAAAAATAACTTTCACTTCTCATTCATTCCCATCCATCACCAGCAGACAAGTATTAGCTTTTGTAATAACAATGGCAGTTTCTTTCATGGGTGACACACGCATCTAAGTGAAGTTTATGCAGTTACCTTAGCAATTTTAAAAGTATCTTTAATCATTACACGAGTTTTGAAAGTTTGTTGTTTGTTTTTGCATGAGCCCCACAATGGCCACAGAATGTATTCAGAGTGCAGGCCAATAAATTCCTGCCGCTGGTTTGGTTGATAACTCCTTTCACAAAGATCTGTTGCAGGGTTATCATAATCTGTTTGTCATTTCCCTGAAGGGCATCATAATTCTGTCCTCAATTATTCATGTGCAGAAATCCCACTGATTTCAAATGAGCTTTCAGCACATGCTTAAAGTTAAGTATTCCTTGGACTAGAAATGCTTTACTGCACTTGGGCTGACGTGCAAACTCTTATATAGTAGTTAATCCAGTGAACAGTTCCATTAACCGAAGTGGGTCTGGCCCACGAAAGCTCATCACCTAATAAACCATCTTGTTAGTCTTTAAAGTGCTACATAGTCCTGTCTTTTGTTTTAGCTAGACCAGACTAACACGACTGCATCTTTATCACTGGTAGTAGTAAGCACTCAGCTCAGCAGCAAATGTTTGTGGGATGGGCACCACATTGTGCAACACAATCATGCTTCAGTGCAACCTCACACACATCCCCAAGCAATGAGACCGCTCAGAATGAGGCTGTGATCATCAGGCAATGTCACAAATAGAATTTACAAGGTCAGCTTGCTAAGATAGCTAGGCAGGACACAGTGATGCCTGGAACTAATTAACAGTCCTCCAAGCTAATCTTATACAACGCAAGATACACACTTGAAAATAAAAACAACCTCAAGAATTTCAGGGCAGATTTTACACCGAATCAAGAAGTTGGACGTAATGGAGATATTTTCTTTTAGGTTTTGAAAATTGTTGCCATTCTCAGATTTAAAAGATTAAAGATTAAAAAGAGAATAGAGGGGTCCTGATTCAACAAGGTATGACTAATCTGCTGAAGCCAATACGACTACTTATGTGCTTCAAGTTATGCACATACTTAACTATCTTGCTATTCCTTTCCAGCAATGGGCAGTCTCAATCCCAAGTAATAAAGATGATCTGGAGGAGGATAATGGCACAAGACTATCGTTAAGAGTTTTTGAGAACACAGTTACTGTCCACATTGACTCACCTTCTTCTACAACTATGGATCAAAGCTGTTAGCAAAGTAAGAGCAAAGCTGTTGAAATAGCTGCAGTTTCAGTTTTCATGAAATGCAAATAATTAGCAAAATTCAATAAATGTAAGATTAAATTTCTATTACATATCTTAAGCTTTTTGAAATGTAAAAATTCATCAAAATTCCACATCTCCTACAAAAACCAAGAAATTACAATGGTTTAAGCAGTGGTGAGCTGAGGCTATTGCTTATTGAATAATAACTTGCTTTATTATCTGTTACTTCATATTCCCCATTGCCTTCCATTTGTATTAATTTCATTCACCTGTGATTGTGTTGTTGCCAATCTAGAATGTGAGCACATTGGGGCATGGATGGTCTTTTTACTTCATGCTTGGAAGCACTTAGAATAACAGTATCCCTAAAAGGCAACTGCAGTACAATGAATAATCAATTATCACTGCAAAATAAAAGTAAAAACTTCATACATCACCGTTCTTCCTCCATGTGTCTGATACTCCAATCACATAAGTATCATAATTTTTCAGTTTCTGTATAAAAAAAAATCAAGGCACAGTTGGGCATACAGGTTTGGCCATTTTAAACTCCAAATTAAGTTGTAACCTTGTTCAAGCATTTGCTAGTCTTAAGTCAAACAATAGGCAAATTTTAAACAATTACTGAACACAAACTGAATGATTAACTTAACTGGTCAATTTCACTTCTCCATTCCTGGACTGTCTCAACAGAAAACAATTTTCTTGAATTTAGTTGGTTATCATTGGTGGCAAAACACATCTACTGCTTCTGTTCCTTGATTGTCTAAACATAGTTTATTAAATTTCTGATGCAACTCATTGTGAAAATTAAATGTAAAGTCACCATCTGCAAATTACAATTTGCTTGCTACAAGCATACATACAAGGAAAAACTCAATTGCTTAAATGTTTGTGGAAGGAAAACACAAAAGGGGCATGAATGTAACCAGAGTTAATACATTTGATAAACTGAACAAAGATTTGCAGAATAGTTTTTGCAGTATTCACTCAGCTCACATAGCGAGAATGTTTTCCACTTCAAAGAATGCAGTCCTTTCATCTAGGCGTGCGTCGTGCATAAAGTATTTTTAGCAATCCGTTTAATGAGTTGACATTGAAATGATTGTACTTCTGTTACAAAGCATTATTATTGTCAGAGAAGTGCACAGAGTTATTTCCTGCTAGCACTGAAGGCAATGGAAGTTTTGTCACTGACTTCAGACCAAGCACAATTATGCAGTTAAAGCATGTTGTCCTCTCTGCACACAAGAGGGCAGACAGAGATCAGGATTAAAAGGAAAGCATCTCATTAAGTGGTCTTTAAAGCCATATGAGAAAGATAAAACCTCTGAACCAATCACACAACCCTCCTGGAGCATGAGATGGGTTGGCATTCAGACATTTACGGGCCATTTGAGAAAGCTGGACTGGAACGTGCCAACACTACCCAAAGGAATGGACAGCTTGAAAGACGAGTGGTTCTGTTTATTCAAGTGTTAGGAGAGATGAAGGCTGAAGTTGGTCTAGGCAGACTTTGTGGGGTGTAGAATTTTGTTGTGGATGAGGTTAATTGTCTTGGGGGTTTTTTTCAAGTTGATTTTGTAATTTATCTCAGAGCCTCACGATTAGGCCCCTCCCTATATTTTTGTCGAGTTAAATCAATCACTAAACCTCTACTCTGAATCCACCTCAGATCAGTAGTGACAAAAAGTCCGTACTGTCCGACACATCCTCCTCCATGAACTATACCAGTGATCTCATCATTGTTCCTATGGGACAAGGGTCCATAGCACAAACCTGATGCCACTACAATTGGTACTAATTTACACCTGTCAGCAGATACTTTTCCCAACTTGCTCTAAATTAAAGTCTAACCTGTCATTAGGGTAATGAGCCACCTGTGTCAATAACTCAGCAAAACTTGCTTAACCGTATCCCAGTAGCGTCAGGGGGTAGCCGAGTTAGTCTGTGTAACTCCGGTCATCTGAAGAAGTGGGCTGCGCCCACAAAAGCTCATGATACCTTCTACATGTTTTGTTAGTCTATAAAGTGCTACCAGACCATTTGTTGTTTGTATCCCAGTAGGTTTGACCAGATTGTTCCTGTGAACCGGGAGTGTTTCAGACCAAACCCTGCCAGTCTGCCCCAGCAACTGAGGAAGCTGAACAGACTGAATGGAATTTGGAAAATGACCTGCTGCTTCCTTGGAGATGGTCTTGCCAATGCAGAAGTGGGACACACACGAAGGCTGAGAGAGCTTGCACGGCCACTGCCTGTGTTGTGTCGCAGCTCTTCTGCGGAGAGACAAGAGACTCAACCTGCCCACTTACACCAATGCAGCTTCCTACAAGACTATGTACTGAAAGAGCCCCAGACTCCCACATTTGTGGGGATGTTTTCTAGAGCATAGCAAGTGTTTGGGGCAGAAAGTAGAGCACCCCTTATTCCATTGCAACCTCCACATTTTAAAAAAGACACAGTGGACCAGATTCTTGGCCCCTGGAAGGCTGCTTTTGGCTGTCCTGGGGGAGCAAAGCAGGCCTAAACTTGGTGTATTGGGTTCTCTGAGGATTTCCCTGTGTAACTTAGGGGATTCCCTCAAAGGTCTAGAGCCAGCATGACAGCTGTACACCAGTACCCTGTTTAGCCTCTCGCTCAAGAGGAAGCTTAGCTAGTATGTCCCTATGCCCTGGATTCCAACAGCTGGAATGATTCCTTGGGGCCAAGGGAGTCCAGGCAACCTGTGTGATGATCTTGGGGTTCATTAACTAACAAACCAGTGAATGAGAAAGGAATAAAAACATGTATTAAAAGCTGGAAGGCATCTGTAGTGAGCTTTCCCCCAACTTCCACCTCCAGGGAACAGCTGCCAATTCCTATGTTCATAATTCTGTCCCTTAGGAAGGAATGTCTCTAAATTACAATCTTCTACAAAGCTTTCTACTCAACCTGCTATAGTTAAGGCTGGAGACCAGCTCGTCCCCACCCACCCCTAGGATATGGAAAGTGTAATGGTGGCTTAAGGCCCCCTTTGCTTTTTCCTCTTATTTCCACACTGAGCACAACTTGTCTATACTACAGGCCCTGGCCCAGTGACATTGAAACCAAAAGTGGTTAGGACCTCAGTAAGTATTCTGCCACAAGATGGGGTTTGCTTTGTAGGTGAGTGATCTACAGAGTTAAAGTAGTGGGATTTAAATATAGTTGGATCCCTGTAAAATAAATCTGTGTCAATATTAGTGCTTACAACACTAGAATCACCTGCTCAAAATAAAACATCTTTAATGAAACTACTTTTCAACATATAACAGTCTTTTCTTTTTAATTCTTACTGAAAGAGCAGGACAAAACCATTAAAGGTACAGAATTTCTCAGGCATATGTGATCTAAAATAAGAAATAAAAGATGATTGCTATTAGCTACATTTAATTGAACGTATACGTTCCATATCTGAGATCATTTTTACTTGTAAATCAAATGCACCTTTTTATTCTAACGTGTTACAGTTTCCCTGTATAAGCATGTATATATTAACACACTGTTTACTTTACGTTGGAATGAAAATCTGCTGTGTCAACGTCATTATGTTTTTATAACTCTCTTGACTTTCTTTTAATCAATAACAACAGGTTATGAGTCAAAGGGTTTTAATATTATTGTGCTTATAGGCCATTAGAATTGGAAATGAGCTCTATAATCTTTAATTTCCCCACAGATAACATATGGCGTTCATGATAACAAATGCACCAAAAAGTGATAGTTGGTCTTTATAGTCAATGAATCACTACTTTTGATAACTATAACTTTTTCCAGAAGAAACTCAGTTGAATTTCGACTAAGACATATCAATCCAACTGATATCCAGTTTTTGATTGAATTTTTGCCTATGAGAACTGAATTAGAGAAACTGAACATGTAAGAGAAAGGAAGTTTCTTCATCTCATTGATCTCTACATTAGTTAAGAATTAAGATGTTACTAAATGTATGATACATACATACAATTACAGTGTAATACAGAACTCTACAATGTCCAGATTTATAAGCCACCCATCATAGAATGTTGGACTTTTGAAGCTCTGTCCTTATAGCATTTTGGCCAACAAGCTTCTTCATACTACAGGTTGAAACTCTCTTAACCTTGACTTTCTGGTCCGGCAGACCATGGATGTTCCAGGACCAGAGTGTCCCACTGGAGGGCAAGTGCCTGGGAGCCCTGCAAGCTGGCACAGCTGCAGGAGCCCATCTCTGCAGCGAGAGCCCGGCACACAGAGGCAGCAGGTCCGAACAGCGCAGCACTGACAGCCCGGTGTGTGAAGGCAGCAGGGCTGCCGGGCAAAGCAGTGGGAGCCTGGAGAGCAAAGGCAGCAGGGCTGCCCAGCACAGCAGCAGGAGCTGGGCACTGACAGCTGGAGCCCGGTGCACAGAGGTGGCGGGGCTGCTCAGTAGAGAAGCAAGGGCTGACAAGGAAGCAGGGCCAGTGAGAGGGGGAGCCAGCTGGGAGGGTAGTGGTTGAGCCAGGGCTGGAGGGGCTGGTGGCAGACAGGCCAGACATGACCACCCCTGGTCTGGCAAAATCCCTCATCTGGGACCAGTCAGGTCCTGGGGTGCCAGACCAGGGAGGTCCAACCTGTAGAAGTAACACATGATATAGTTGGATGCATATCATACAAGTCAGCATTAAAAAGGTAAAAACAGTCAGTCAACTAACTATTTTGATAAAGCTGAGAATGGAGACTAACAGAAAAAAGCAAAAAAGAAAGTACATGGATTACAAATCCACAAAATAATCATTAAGGCGGAGTAGTGTAATTCTACACTTCCTGCCTAGATAAAATCATGGTTTTATACCTCTGCTTCAGAGAAAGTCACTGTGGGGGTTAATACCTGGGAACTTCACAGAAGAGCAGGAAATGCCCACAGGTGAACAGACAGGTGAATAATGGTTGAGCTGCAAAGCACTGTGGGATAGCCATTGGAGGCAGGGGGGTGAAAGTGGTGTACAGAAATTGTGCCCGCATGAACAATAGACCTCTGCAAGCCTAGTCCACCTTCCAAAAAGACTGCAGAGTTCATTGCAAAAGTGGGGCCAGTGTGCAGTGATGGACTGCTTTGAGCGTACACAGCTATTTCCAGCCAGATAAACTGTTTGATCTTCTTCAAAGCCTCTCTGTACACCAGCCCACAACACAGTCGTTCCCTACCCTCCAGCGTATCTGCTTTACCCTTAAACTACTGGGAAAAGCTATTTTCATAGGATGTCACAGATTACATGCACAAGAGAAGTCTGATAGCTAACATGACTGTTGGGCTTGATGTTGGAGCAGTTGATTTCCCCACTGTCAAGAGAGTGAAAGGTTAAAGATATTTTCTCATTCTAGCAAAGCCAAGCAGGAAAACATTGCTGCTATGCAAACTCACAGGGAATGCATGATGCTAGGAGAAGGCCCCCAAAACAGTCTTAAACATAACAAGATACAAAACATAAGACAAACACATACCTAAAACAGATTGTTTTTTGGTCTCACCTTACAGGTTTTGCTTTAAAAAGCAGTGCAACAGATATATTATGGATGATATATTGACTATCCACTACAAAGTTCATGAAATGTTTGTTTGTCCACCTACATTGTAAAGACATAGGGCCAAATGCTGCTAACACAGTCACTCCGAGTATGAGGAATCCCATTGATTTTAATAGATGAATAAATGCTAACAAACATGGAGAGAGGGGTTAAGAATCCAGCTCAAGGAGGAATATAGATAAGCATGTTTCTAGCTTGAAATGGCCTAGGTGTATCAAAGTAAGACTTACCTACCATGGCTATGTATTTGGTAACTTTCTTCACTATGAAACTACGTTATCAGCATGCTGAATAACAGTCCTTAAGAATAGGAGTGCTCACATTTGAAATCCTAATTAACAACCATATTAAACCAGAAATGTTTGGACAAAAATAAGAAGTCTCCGGATGGGAAGTTTGTGACAAAGGGCTTAGTTCTGAAGTAAAGTAAAAGAAAATTTACCCTTTCCTTTGTAGGTACACTAATGGAACCCTTCCTCTTCCAGGCTGTTTCCTTGAGGTCTGCCAAGAACTGTCACCAATTCAACAAGAAGACAAAACTTCTAGTAACTTCAAGTACACATGAAAATGCAATGGATACAGCATCCAAGTGAGCTGAGAGCCATACCCAGCTAGCTATCACATAATTCAGCTGAGTCAAATGGAAAAATGTGATGAAAACTCATAAGTGACTTTCTTCTTAGTATCTTTCTGGCAGAGGGCGGTTGCCCTTTGTCTACAGTGGCCCTAGGATTTTTGCCTACCCTCCCCACAAATTAATATGGGCTCTACTTTTCACTTTACATCCAGCTAATGTGAACCAACGACTCTTAAATGTACCCGTTCCATGAAAAGGAAAGCACTCTGGGTAACGTAGCTGCAGGAATTTGTGCCATTACTGAAAAGCAGTTTTTACGAGCTAAGCTTTTATTTTGACTTGTGAAACCAAACTTATTTCTCACATCTAGAGAGGGGTGATGAAATGTAAAGGAAGAACTCAGCTGTAATGCCACCTTCTCGTGTTAATGGATAGCATATGTGGGTGCATTGCAAGACGGCTGCCTGGCTGCTAACAGTGAATCAGTTCTGCCTCATACATGGGAGAATCAGCACCAGCTTATACCACACATCTAGACAGCGAGCTAGACTCATCCTTGGGGTAACTCCTTTGAATTCAGTAACGTTACACCAGAGGTGACTTTAGCCCCTCCTAATTGGTGCTGGCACACACTTTATGAGCCCTGCTGAGTAGATGCCAAGGGATGAAGCCAAAAAAATGAGAGAGAGGAGGGGGCAGGTACTTCCTGTGAAAATGCTGCTGGAAGAGAACCACTAATTAATTTTAAAATACTTTCTCATGTAGGAGCAGAGGCTACTGCTATGACCTGTGATATCAGCGAGAGTGAGCAGCCAAGTATCTGCTTCTATGCTGCGCTGAGATTTGCAGCGCTACACTGGAAAAACGTGACGATATTAGGCTCAACGTAATGAGACAGCTGTAAAGCCGCTCTCTTCGGAGACCTGCTTTGCAGCCAGCTTCAAAATTCTGCTCTCCCGGTGTACAAAATCTGATTCACATGCTCCGTAAGGATGTTTCTTCAGATCTGTGCTATGACTTGTTCCCCTTTTGCCCCCGGGCCCACCCCATTTCCCCACTCCAAGGGGAGCAGGAAGTGGATGCATTTCCTGTCATGCATCCACCAGGCTGGGAGGATAAGATGCAGACCTAGCTACGCAGTCACCCCTCGCCCCCAGACTGACACATGCAGTGTTTATTGTGATTATATATATGCCTACTCGTGGCCTAGAGGGATATCAAATATTTTCCATTTGCATAAGTCTGGGAGCAGACAAGGTCTGATCGTATCCAGACAGCTTAAGAGTACCCTCCCTGCATTTCCTGTTTTTCACCAGCCCTCCTCTTTGCTTCCTTCTGCCTCCTTGCCTGTTGGTTACCCTACCATAGGCCTCAGAGTCCCTCCTGCACATCTTTACCCCTTCCAGTTTCCCACTGACACCACCCTCCCAAGGCCTGCACCGAGGGACGCTGACAGCCTCTATGGGCCCTTGGGTAAGGTGGAGAGGCCGTTGTTCCATGATCCTGGAAGGGGCAGGACCTCAGGAGGCAGGGGCAGAAGCAAGGCAGCCAGCCCCCTGCACCGTCTGCAGCACATCACGTCAAATCCACAGTGTTCCAGAGACAATTTCAAGAGCCCACAGTTCTGGACACTGCTGCTGCCACAGATGAGCCTGGGGGCACCTGCCCTCTTCATGTCCCACTGTTGACGGGCCTGCCTGCACTAGACATGTTGCTGTGGCCTCATCTTTCTTTTCTCTTGCTGCAGTACCCAGGCTCCCCTTCACCTGCTGCTCTATCTAGGACTATCATTTCATCAGTGTTCCCATTCCCCCTTCCCCAACTGCTGCTCCTGTGCCCGGCTGTGAGAAATAGCAGCTGCACTTTGCTGTGCTGATCCTTCCCCCTGCGAATCCGTACATTTCCCTCAGCTCCTCCAGTGCCAGCCAAACACTCTTGTTTCTTCCTCCCCATTCCAGACGTAGCTCCCAGGAGCTCCTCAGACCCAGGTTCTGAAACAAGTTTCGGCTGGACAAAGCCCTGGCTGGGTTGATTTAGTTGGGTTTGGTCCTGCCATGGGCAGAAGGCTGGACCTGATGTCCTCCTGAGGTCTCTTCCAGCTCTATGATTTCCCCTCTTTCAGTACAAGTGGAAATATGTAACCAGCCTGTAATGTTGGGATGACCCAGAGTTTGCTTGTTTTGGGATGGGGTAACAGCTGTCAGCTATAAAACAGAACCCCATGGTGGTGTGTTGAGCTGGCCATTCTTGAGATTGGGAACCCAATAACCTGGGTTCAGAGCCAGACCAGGGAAGAGAAGCACTTTTGAACTATGATAAAATGGAAGATTTGACTAATACTCTAAGGTTTGCCATATGCTGTTTCGCTGGAACTTGTTCTTGTAAACAGCATCTCTTTCTTAGTTGCCCACTAAGTTTTTATTAATACTTAGGCTACGTCTACACTGCAGGCTTCTTGCGCAAGAATGTCCATTCTTGCACAAAAGCTTGCAGAGCATCTATACTGCATGCGCATTCTTGCACAAGTAAATTTACAGGAAGACGTTGGAACAGAGGGCTTCTTACGCAAGAGTTATTCCTCTCCCCACGCGGAATAAGCCCTCTTGCGCAAGAAGGCAGTGAGGACAGGAAACGGGTTTCTTGCGCAAGAAACCCCTATGACTAAAATGGACATCAGAGCTTTCTTGTGCAAGAGCGCGTCCACACTGCCATGTGCTTTTGCGCAAGAGTGTCTATGGCAGTGTGGACGCGCTCTTGCACAAGAAAGCTCTGATGTCCATTTTAGTCATAGGGGTTTCTTGCGCAAGAAACCCGTTTCCTGTCCTCACTGCCTTCTTGCGCAAGAGGGCTTATTCCGCGTGGGGAGAGGAATAACTCTTGCGTAAGAAGCCCTCTGTTCCAACGTCTTCCTGTAAATTTACTTGTGCAAGAATGCGCATGCAGTATAGATGCTCTGCAAGCTTTTGTGCAAGAATGGACATTCTTGCGCAAGAAGCCTGCAGTGTAGACGTAGCCTAAGTATTAATAAAAACTTAGTGGGCAACTAAGAAAGAGATGCTGTTTACAAGAACAAGTTCCAGCGAAACAGCATATGGCAAACCCTTCTCTGGAAGTTTATTCAGATAGAATTTCTTACATGGAGGATGAGACATTTCCAAATTGCCTCAAGGAAAACCTTAAGACAATCATTGTAACTGAATTAATCTGGCTATAAATTGTTATTCGTCATAATTATAGTGGTTAATTATGTTTCTCTTTTATAGATCTTGGATACTTTAACATGTGAGATATTATCCCTCTGGGGTTTTATGCATTTTTCTTTGCGTTATTGAGCTAAGGAAGGACGCAATAGAATTGTGAGTACGTTCATGT